CCTCCTGGCAAGCTCCAGCCCAGGGAAGGACATGGAGTTAGTGCCTTTGAACTTCAGGCCAAAATCAAAACCTTCTTCCTGTTCAGCTAGCGGACGCCCTGCTCCGGGCCTGGGCTAAGCCTACACGACTACAGGTTTCTGCTTTTCTTTTCCTCGTGGCCCCCTCTGCCTGGCAGGGCCAGCACCGAAAGAGCCTCAGCCGCAAACCTCTTCTTGTAAAGGGCCGGAGAGTGCGTCCTTCAGCTCTGTGTTGTTTCTTCCTGTCCCTTCCCTAGCCATATTCTTTTCTTCCTTTTAGAAAACAACCCTTAAAAACATGCAAATTGTCCTTAGTGCCAGAGCCATAGGGAAAACAGCCCCACTGGGTGCAGGTGGCCAGGCTCGGGCCCAGCGCAGTGTCCTGGCTGCACAGCTGACCCATCTGGAGAGCTCTGAAGAGCTCCAGTGGTGACAGGACCCCTTTTCTGGCCCTCTCTCCCCCCAGCACAGGAGGACGCACCCCTGCCTGTTGCTGTGACAGCACACCGGGCCCAAGTCTCGGCTTTGAGAGGGGAGGCAAGTACCTCAAGCCTCAGGGAGCCACTGCCTCTCTGGCCAGCGCATCAGAATGAGGCAGCAGGTGGGAGCAGACCTGAGCCCGCCTGGACTGGGGGCCCAGTGTGGCTCCCAGGGCCCGGTGACTGTTACACAGCATCCCTGCACACGGGCCTGGCTAATACAGCGTGCCCGCCCTCCCTCTCTGACTCGGGTTTTGCTGATGGGCTGGGCCCTGGGGCTGGAAGGTTTTAAAAGCCTCCCCTAGTGGCACGACACACACCAAATAGGAACCAGGCAGCCAGGATCCATAGCGCTGTCCTGCAGCAATGCTCTACGTCCCCTTCACATCTCCTCCCCTGTTGCCCTGGGAGCAGGGACCGGGCGTTCCCTAATTCCGGGCCTCTGGTACCTGGCACTGGTCCCGTACAGAGAGGACCACATTACATTTCTGTACAAAGCTCCACACACCGTCCCAGAAATGTTCTGGGATGACCAACTGTCCTGCTGTGCCCAAACTGTCCCATTTTTAGCACTTAAGTCCCCTGTGCCCCGGGAATCCCTCAGTGCCAGGTGGGACAGGACACTGGTCACCCTACGTGGACTCAGGGCCCAGGTCTAGGCCTGGCCTGTGGTACAGCCTGGAGTGTGAGGGAAGGGCAGCAGCTGGTGTCTGAGGTACTGGCACTTCTCGCTCCACACAGCAGGCCGGGAGGCTCTCAAGGCCCCAAACCCAGGCCCCACCCCAGACCAGCCACCTCGGCGTTGTGGGGCCAGAGCTGTGCAGGGGGGATGTTCCAACCTCCAGGTAACAGTGACATGCTGCCGAGGCTGGAACTTACTGCACTGGATTCCGGGCAGGGTCCTTGGATTTCCCTGGTGGGTGCATGAGGCCAGGGACCACACACGGCCTGGCCTGGTCGTTGCTGGGGACAGACCAGGAGCGGCTGAGAGTCAGGAGCGGACGCGGGCTCACGGTGATGCTCATGGAGCTCTGGCTTCCTTGATGGGAGGTGAGGTGTGGCTGCAGGCAGCGTCCGTGCCACCCACCCCCTCATCTACCTGTGGCCTTCCAGCACCACCAGGGGCCAGCACAGTGCACTGCACAGGGAGAATCTGGGAGCAGAGCAGTGGCCAGAATATACCAGGCCCGGGGCCCCGGGTGTCGTATCTGACACACTGGGGCTGGTGATTCTCTCCCTCATTCCCTGACACCAGAGAGAACAGCCAACTGAGAAGAGGCCAGCCTGGGCTCACATTTCACCCTCCCAGCAACTGCACAGGTACTCCATAGAACAGACAAGAAAACTGAGGCTCTGGGAGAAGAGATGGGAGAGCGTTTCTAGGGTCGAGAGGTACCAGACAGTTTTGCACCCGGCTGTTAATGGCAGCTCTCCTGGTTCAGAGAGGTTCAGCAATAGCCCTAAGGTGCACAGCCAGTGTGCAGAGGAGCCCAGCCCTCCCCGTGAGATACTGCCCTAGCCTGCACGTCACCAGGTCCCAGACTAAAAGAAAAAGGGAAGGAGAGAGATGGGCAGCCTCTATAGAGCACCAGCCACTCTCTGCAGGGCCTGGCTGCCATGTTCTTTCTTCACCGCTCCGGGTCTGAGGTCAGCCCTGTATGTTTACAGAAGAGGAAGCTGAAGCTGAGGGGTTAAGTGACGTCCATAACCTGGACCCTTGTCCATGCTAGTCTTGATGGGGTGCAGGGTGGACTCTCAGATGAGCACAGCACTGAGACATTACTTACACCCTCTGGGCCTCAGTTTCCTCATGTGCGCATGAAAATAATTCAACCTACTGGCTCTCCTGATGGTGGGATTATCCAAGAAGCCCAGATGAGGGAGGTGAGATCAGTAGAGGGGAGGAGATGAGGATGGAGCAGCGCTTCCAGGGGCCGTGAGAGCGAGCCACCGATGCACACACCCTGGATGCCATTCCAGGGACAGCGTGCTCCCCTCACTGCGCTCTGAGGGGACCCCGCGGCTTCAGGCTTAATGGAGCTCACTGCATTCGGTCTGAGAAGCAGGGAAACAGCTCCTGTGTTTTAGAGCCATTTCTATAGAAACCGCAGCCCCCACACTTCCTTTCCACTTTAAAAAGGAACACAAAGGAGAGCAAGAAGAGTCAGTGATGGCGATGTGCTCCAACTCAGCTGAGGGGCTCTCTTGTTCATGCATCTCACACCCCCAGAGCATATCACCTCATTGGTGTTGTGTGTGTGTGTGTGTGTGTGTGTGTGTGTGTTTGGTTTGCATTTGGTTCATCTTCCTCCACAGGGCTTTAGAATCAAGTCAATTAAACAAAGAGCAGCATGATCATCTCACACTGGGTGGCCCTTTCCAATCTGATCTCCTCCACATAAGGTGCCTGTCACCATCAGAGCCTGTCTTGCAGACGGACACAGCTGGAGCTACTCACCCAAGGCCTGGCTGCGACCAGGGACACGGGCCCAGCCGCCCCGTCTGCATCCAGTGAGCTACTCTTCCAGAGCCCACAGGCCCACTGCTACGAACTTCCTATACAACACCACACAGTGTTCAACCAGGCTTCAGTAACTGCCAGTGACAACAGCTGTCCTTGTTCTCCAGAAGAAAACGAGCCGGGACCCCTGACAGAAAGTGCTAACACCTCTGCTCCTGCGGCCCGAGAAGCCGTGGGTATGCAGGTCAGGGCTGCACACATGCAGGCAGAACTGGCCTGTGCTCATGATGACCGGTTTTGTTCATCTGACAAGGGCTAAGAGTCCACCGTGTCAGTGAAGACAGTCTCTGCCACAGCCTGGGTGCACATATTGAGTCTGGAGGGGTCCCGGGGGGGTTGCTGATGGCACATCTGCTGGGGCCGGCATTGCTCCACACATGCCCTGGGCACCAAGAAGCCCAGGCGCTCCTGCTCTGCCAGCCTGGAGCCCAACCCTTGAGGTCAGCTTGGCACCCGGAGTCCCACGTTTGTGGATGGAGGCATGCCTGCAATGATGCTGGATTTCTCCAGGTTCAGGATCACAAAGCCCAAGTCTGTCTCCCCAAGCACAGAACTCTGGGACTAGGTCCCCTCCCAGCGTGCCTGGCATGGCAAGAAGGAGGATCGACACGGCACTGTGGCCACCTCCAGGACCTGCACCTGGCCCAAGGCAGCAGCCTCGGGTGGTCTTCATGTGGCCCAGGGGATGGGTGTCCCAGTGTGATGTGCGAGGCCCGCAAAGCCATGCCAAGCCAGGAAAGCAGCCGGTGGGTGGCAGAGCCAGGGGTTGGTCTCTGGGTGCATCTGACCGCGGGCAGCATGCTGGTGCCTGCAGGTCATGGCGTGTGGCAGCTCGCCCTCGTGCCACCTCTTATGTGTCCCAATAATGAAGTTAATTTGGGACGGGAGATAGGTGAAAACTGCTTTGCTTGACCTCTCACCCTTTTCAATGACCCTCCCGAAAGTCTAGAGCCTGGCCACAATTTTCACTTCAAGTATAAAATTGCTAGAAAATGGGACCCAGGGTCCCAGTCCTCTCTAGCAATAAACTAATTCAGCACTTAAGTCCTTGTGGAACAAAGTCGGGCACAAATTAAAAAAAAAAAAAAAATCTGTTCCCTTCCTATGCTAGGGCCTGTCTACAGTTGACCCAGACTGCAGAGCCTGGGAACTTTGCCTTTGTTTCATTAACTCAGGAGCAGTGGACAGGAGGGCTGAAAGCAGGTGAGGACAAGGGAGGGGCCGAGAGAACACGAGACCCTGCATGCGGGAGCCCACATTGTGGGGCAGGAGGAAAGAGCGAGAGAGCTCTGCTAATGTCCATTCAGAACCTCCAGCGAACCCTGGGGAAGCCTGAGCCTTGGACTTGTTACCCACGAATTACAGGACATAGTATGAGGGCTGTGGAGCACACACTGGCCTGGGGGCTCCGGGGCCACCTCTGGCTGCTGGACTGAGAATAAGGTCCCTCCCCTTTCCTTTATCTTCCTAGTGGAATGGAACCAGTGCTGTGCCTAGAAATAGAAGGTATCTGTAAAAATAATAATCAAAGTCCCAAACAAGTTCATTCCGGTTCTGAGCTCTTGTTCAAAGGACACAAGATAAGCAAGTGTTAAGAGATGCTAAAAACATACTAGTGTTAAAAACAAACTAAACCCAGACTTTCTGCAAAACACGATCTGATGCACTGAACGCGCACTGAGGAAGGAGAACTTTTCGAGTAAGAGCCAATGTTACTCAAAGGCTGTGTCATGGGCCATTGAGAAGCACCTCACACACACTTAGATACCTTTGAACACCGAGTACCACTCACATGTTTACTCTGGCAGTGACAAGACCAAGGCTTAGGGGGTCCCTGAGGCCAGACAGGGAGAAGGAAGTCATGGTGGCCCCGAAGGGCTGCCCCATGGCCTTCCTCATGCAAGTTTGGGGATGGGATGCTGAACGCACAGCTGAGGATGGGGCTCCCAGAGGCCTCCCTGTCCACACCCCGAGGACGTTACCTGGGCGGGAGCACTGCAGGACAGATGAGCCAGGTCTGCGATTCTGGCTGCAGCCCGGGGATCGCTGGAGCTGATCAAGACCGGAGCGCTGATTTCCATGGAGTGCCTGTGGCTTGTGGCTTGGGAGGACTTGTGTGTCACACTGAGCGCGGTGAAGGAGTGGCGCTTCTTGGCATTCTTCTTGCTGTCCACACGCCGCTGAAAGGCACTGACCGCCCCTGTGCTGCTTAATGCGGGTCCTGGGGCCACACTGGCCGCCGCGCCAGGGTCGGAGGGCAAGGGGGCGTGGCAGCCAGACGCAGCCGCTGGGCATGGCTTGTCCATCTCAATGAGCTGCTTGGCTGAGTCGTTGAGCTAGGTGAAAAAGGCAAAGGAAGGCCTCGTTAAATAGAGGTCACAGGCCCCAGCCTGCTCCCCGTGCTCACAGCCTGCGTCCCCCGTTAAACCCGACAATGTGTTCACGGTCCCGCAGGTCTTCCCCACGGGGCTGCCCTGTGAATGGCGCCAGGCCCAGACACAGCAGAGGCTGCAGTGACATCTGTAGATTTTACTGAAATGGTCTCCAAGGCAGCTGTTTTCGTCTGCCCCAGGGTAGCCCCACTCCTTTCCCGGGGTGCCCGTTTCTGGGGTATGAGGTGCAGACCTGCAGAGGGCATGGGACAGAGGGAGAGGTGGCAGGAATGCCCAGCTGTGGGCCCACACTCACCATGGTGACAGGCTCTGGCCTGCCTGGCACAGTTCTGGCCATGCTGGCAGGAAAAAGCAAGGCACGTGACCAGAATGCCCTTTCTGTCCCCTGGCAGGGACCATTCAACCTGCTGAGCAAGAAGCATGGATGCATCCCAGATGTGGACGGCACCCCACGTGCCCCCCTGCCTCACGCACCGGCGGAACGCAGCCTTCCCCGCACCTCGGCCGCTTCAGAGGGAGAGTCCTCGGCTGCTGGCAGAGCCCCCTGCCTGAGGTGATCAGGGGAGAAGGCAGAACTCCGGGCCCTCCTGGGATGTGCGCACACCTGCAAACCAGCTGGGGGCAGAGAGGAAGCCAAAGCACAGACCCTGGAGTGCTCAGAGCTCAGGGCTGAGGGCAAGGCACAGTCCTAGGCGCCGGTTTAGCGAAGGGGTGAGTCGGCAGAGACCCCTGCGGGCAGTTTGAAGCCCTCCTGGAAGCGGGAGCCAGCTGTGGATGGGCAGGTCACCTGGTGCGGGAGCCACACCCATGTCCTCAGCTGAGTGGGGGAATGGGGGTTGGAGCTGGGGGGGGGCAAGCCAGGAAGGGCCTCGTCCCCACCTGCAGGGGAGTCTGGATTAGGAAATGTCCCTCAGGCCTGGGACGGCAGAGGAAAAACCCCAGGTTCTCACGCAGCATACACTACTAGGGCTTGCAGCTGGTAGCATCTTGATGACTTAATGAAAATAATAATAAAAAAGGGCCCCCCTGATTTTAAGCAGTGAGAGCGGGGGAGGCTTCATCCGCACAAGGCCGAGTGGATCAGACGCGCAGCGGTGCTGGCTGTCCAGCCGCCCACACACAGCCCAGGCGAGGCCGCCGAGCGCTGTCACCATTTCCATTACAAATACCTGCCTTTCAGAGGGAGGTTTTGAAAAACTCACTGTGGGCCCCAAAATGTGTGATCTAAATCCAGGATTATTGCCTTTGAAACGTTTCTTCCAACCAGGCTCAGCTGTTTTGCTCTATTTTATGACTTTATTCCGTTGCTTCCTCAGCAGTGCTAGCTTGCAAGCAGACCAGTGGCTGTTGCCTCCCGCGGCCCTCCGTGGGGTGCTCCGAACACCCCAGGGCTGGCCTCCTGGAGCCTAGTGTTCGGCACCCATGCCGCAGGGCCAAGAGGAACACAGAGAAGCAGGAAGCAACAGGGACAACGCCTTTCATTTACAGGCGTCGGAGCACAGACTCCGTACTTTCTGCCATGTGCCTCCATGTGGAACATTATTACAGACATAATGACACCAACAGCGCCCAAGGCTGGGCGAAAACAACTCCGCTCTTCCCCAAAGCAGCCGACCTGGAGTATGAGGCACCGACAGAGCAGGGGCGTATGCACTTCCGGAACACACGGAGCCCTGATCTGAGCCACTGCCACAGCGGCCACGGGCCCCACCGCGGCTGGCCCTGGCCGTTCCCCGCTCACCACCTGGCGCGCGGCTCACCCCACACCACTCAGTCCTCCACACAGCTCCCCGGCAGGCTGCTCACGGCCAACCATGCTGCCTCCTCCTTGATGGAGACCAGGGTGTGGGGGCAGCCCGCCTTTCTCCCCCATGCCCACAGTGGGCACTGAGAGGGAAGGCCAATGAATGTCCATGAAAGATCGGTGTCTCAGCAAGATGCAGGAGTCAGGAGGGCTGCTTTCAAGGGGTGACTCTCCGCACGTCCATCAGTGGCCTTAGAGTCCCTGACATCTCTGCAGGAGGCAAGGGACATACCAAGGAAAGACCCTCCCAACGGAGAGACAGTTCAGTTTTATCTTCTTTACTGAACCTTTGCTTTGTGACAAGCAGCTTCTTGTTGGAGCTGTGTATACATGGGATTAGCCAGTGATTTGCCACCCTTGGCTGGACAGCCCGGTCCAGGCTTTGAGCAGCCCCCTGGCCCCAAACAGACCATGGGCCTGCCGAGTCCATGCTGATTGCTGCAACTCTGCGGCAGGGTCCCTGAGGTGACACTCAGTGTTGCGGGGAGCTGCCATCAACTTCCCAGCAAGCTCTGATTAGCCACGTTGCATGATGCTCAGGGCTGGGCCTGGCAGCTGGTGCCACCAGTGCCATCCCAGTCCACATGGCCCATGACTACAGGACACCCTCACCCACCGGCATCTGCCCGAGACAGCAGCTCCTGACTCACACCCCTCAGGTGCAGCTACGACTGCCCATTTCCTCATACTCCAAATGGGGGCAGTGTCAGCTTGCCTGCCTGCAGCCGTCCACACTGCAGGAAACCAGATGGCTCTGCTCTCCCCTGAGCAGGCTGCAGCCCCGCCTCATTGGCCTGCGGGAGCCTGGCCAGTTAGCCTTGGGGTCCTGAGGGGAGGGCCGAGGAGGCAGGGAACGTTGAAGTCAGCCCTCTTGTTCCCCCCACAGGCAGAATGCTAGAACATTCTGTGAGTGGCTGCTGACTGCCAGTTGTGAAGGGTGGTATGTGGTGGGGAGAATGAGTGCTTCCTGGCATTCTGCCCCAGGATGCTCCCTGCTCCCCACCAAGATGCTTGTCGGGCAATGAAAGAGTTCGGCTTCTCCCTCTGAATGTGGCTGGTCACCCAATCTGTTTCTCCACCCCAAAGAGACAGGAACACCTAGGCACAGGACCCCCCCCCCCACAACTGGTGATTAACCAGTGCACGCAATAATTCCCATTTTGACTGTTTTTGGACGGCAATAGAAGACATTTCCAACTTCCATACAAAATGGAAGCAAAGTAGTGGCACCAACATGTAAAAGTCTTGTTGGGTTTGTTCATGGATCCCGAGGACAGTCACTGGCCTGCTCCCTCCCACTCTGCAGGAGGCCCTCTGCCGCAGCCAGCTCAAAATCCAAACACTCAACCGCCACACACATTTCCTCTTCCTCAGGTCCGGTGTTGCAGGTGGGATGGAACCAGTCAGTCACGGTCGCACCCCAGTCAGGGACTATGCGTCTGCCCCTGGCTCAGGACCCTCTTCCCAGGACTCTGCCTCGCCAACTTCGTCAGCTCAGATGTGATCTTCCTCCACACCACTCTTCCCTCCAGCCACAGAAACATCTGGAAATGGAAGACCTGAAGGGTTTCTTCTTTCCCTTGTTCAAACAGTTCCATATGAAGTCCTCTTAAGAGTTACTGGTGGCATCCTAGCTGCATGTGAATTTGGGGACCAGGTTAAATAAAGAAGACTCTCACCCTCAGGCTCACATGGGGCCCTTGGTGAGCTTGAGGCTAGCAAGGGATTTGGACACTTGGCCCAGGAAAGTGCCAGAGCTGGGGGCCTGGGCAGGGCACGGTTACCCAGAAATCACCAGTTCTGGTCAAGAGGACTTTAAATTGAAGGTAATGTGGGAGGGATTTTTTTTAAAAAAATATTTTATTTATTTATTAGAGAGAGAGAGAGTGACAGAGAGCATGAGAGGGAGGAGGGTCAGAGGGAGAAGCAGACTCCCCGCTGAGCAGGGAGTCTGATGCAGGACTTGATCCCAGGACTCCAGGATCATGACCTGAGCCGAAGGCAGTCGCTTAACCAACTGAGCCACCCAGGTGCCTGTGGGAGGGAATTTTTAAAGAAAGAATAAGATTGGAAAACCAGGCATACAGGCTGATATCAGATGTAACATGCAAGAAAGGACAATGGGTTGAGGGGTGCCCTGCAGTTCTCAAGCAAAATAACAGGGAAGGCCCTCCATCCTAACCCTGAGGTAGGAAGTACAGCCTCAGCACAGCTGCACCCCAGAGCGATGGGCTGATGACTGAGACCGGAGGGAGGGAAGTACGTCTTCCCTTTCTGGGAAATCCAGGAAGCCAAAGAGGGGAGCGTACTGGAAGCCAGGTGTCAATTTAAAATTAAGGCAACCAACAGATACACATGTACAGCAAATACTTGCTGAGCACCTGCCATGTCCCAGGCTCTGCTCTAGGTGCTGGGGGTGCTGAGGTGAACGACAGGGGCTGCTCGAATAAAGCTTATACTTCCCTGTGGAGTGAACTACTTAGGGAGCTTTGTAAAGATGCAGATTTTGGCTCAGTAGGTCTGGGATGGCACCCAAGTTTCTTCATGTCTACAAACTCCCAGGAGATACCGCTATTGCTCGAGCCAGACCCTCTTTGACTAGAACATGGACGGCTTTGCAACCTCGGCTTCACAAGGAGACGCTCTTGCCACAGAATAGCCACAAGACCAGAGACAGCAGCTTTTGCTTGGCATTTGCCTTTAATGCACAGCTCCCACCCCTGGTGGGCTCAGTAGAGCACAGGTCACCATGCCTGGTAGTTGGCCTATTATTCCGGAGAGCTTCACAAACTCAGGAGTGGATGAAGAGTGGCCTTTACTTGCCTCAAACTTTTTTTTTTTATTTAAGATTTTATTTATTTATTTGACAGAGACACAGCGAGAGAGGGAACACAAGCAGGGGGAGTGGGAGAGGGAGAAGCAGCTTCCCCGCTGAGCAGGGAGTCCGATGAGGGACTCGATCCCAGGACCCTGGGACCATGACCTGAACCAAAGACAGACGCTTAACAACTGAGCCACCCAGGTGCGCCCCCTGCCTCAAACTTTTGTCAGGAAAAATCTCAGGAGCCTCCCGCTTCACCGAGGTGGGCAGGCACAGATGGCTGACTGCATTTTGATCTGTGCCTCTTATTTGTAAAAC